TACCATGGAGGGCGGGCGGGTTGGGGGGTGGGGGGTGGGGCAGTAAGGTTTCGTATATGGTTGCGCGGACCAATGCTTTCCTGTGGGTTGGGGGGGAGGGGGGTGGGGGTGGGGCAGGGGCATTAAGCTTATGTGGATAGTTGCGTACCATGGAGGGCGGGTGGTGTGTGGGGGGTGTCCCGCAGTTTCCGAATACAGCCGTCGAGTTTCCGAATACGAGTTTCCGAATACAACCGTCGAGTTTCCGAATCCAAGCGGTCAGTTTCCGAATACAACCGTGGAGTTTCCGAATACAACCGTCTCAGTTTCCGAATGCCAGTTTCCGAATACAACCGTGTAGTTTCCGAATACTAGTTTCCAAATACAACCGTGCAGTTTCCGAATACCACCCTTCCAGTTTCCGAATACAACCGCTTCAGTTTCCGAATACCAGTTTCCGAATACAACCGCGCAGTTTCCGAATCCCAGTTTCCGAATACAACCGTTCCAGTTTCCGAATACAACCGCCGAGTTTCCGAATACAACCGTGGAGTTTCCGAATACAACCGCCGAGTTTCCGAATACAACCGTCCAGTTTCCGAATACAACCGCGACCGTTCAGGCTGGGGTTCATGCGGGAAGCTTTGGAGAAACATGCCTGGAGCTGAGGTGGCAAAGGCACCTGTTTCTGATGGTGAGTTGCGGGTGTGGACTGAATTTTGCACGGGTGCATTTGGACTGGCTCCGGTGACAAGTTAGGTTGTATGCAGCTCAAAGGACACACACACAGACACACACACACACACGCACACGGACATGGTCACATCAATTGTTTCTGGCCTGTATATATATATATATATATTTTTTTTTTTAAGAATATGGTGTATGCATGTGTGTGTGTGTGTGTCAGACGTGGGAACAGTTTTTCGTCATCGCTCATGGATGCTGAAGATGCTGCGTAAACTCAAGCCTTTGGACCCATTGCTGGACGCAGCCAAAGATGAGGAGGAATGCGAAGGTGCACTGGTCTAGAAAGTGTCAAGACACAGACACCATAATTCAATCAGGTCGAATATCGGCGAGTCAAGATCTACAAGTGTGCCAGGTGAGATTGAGCCAGCAACGTCTCGAACACCAGCACTGAGGAAGTAAAAGTCCGTATATACATAGGACACATGCAGACAGACATGAGCTACCTTCTCATGCAGGAAGAGGCGCAGTGCCGTTTGCAAGCCTGCGCGCAAGACACTGAATGCCAGGAGGCAACTTGGTGCGAATACACACGTCATGTCATGTCGCTTCACGCTGTGATAATTGCCGCTTAAAGCGGCTTCTCCTAGCATGGCCTTGTGTGGTTTGCCAGATCTCAGGCGTGTGGCCAGGTTTGTCACCAAAGGCGTTCTTTTTTCATCATTACTCAAACACACGATAAATACATACACAGATACATCATCCACATTCACTTATCATCATTCCTTTGCAGATGGTGGGGAACCTGAACGACGCCATGTTGCTGTAGCTGGGTCCAAGCCTCGGTTGGACGGACTGTCGAAGTCCCTGGGCCAAGAAGTGCTTCCCTTGGTGGCCTGTAGTTTCTGCGCAAGACAAACCCAAGCATTTATATACTGCCCCAGGATAAACACAATTTCAGATGTCTCCACCCCAGACATTCCGAGGCGTCCATTGGCACGTCAAGTTGATGATGCCCTGAAATGCAAGGAGTCCAGCAGATGCGTGCGTTATGCTTTGACCCTGTGGATCTCAATTGAGCAGGCTGATAGGCTACTTCTAACATCCAGCGGCTTGGGGAATGGAGAGAAGGAGGTATCCCTGGCTTGTGATGCCCATATATATATATATATATGTGTGTGTGTGTCAACACCTGTCACTAAGGTTCTTGCATTTCATGTGTAACTTGAACTAATTCACTCTGAATGGAGCAGGGGGGCAGTGCACGACTGACAGACACTGCCCAACGAAGACATTGTCAGCTCGTGGTGAAGCAATGCGGGACACCGCATTGTGTACCTGCATTTTTCCTTCCTTCGTTTCACCCATGTTAAACATTCCAGTTCTTGCGGACCCATTCACCTTACCGTTTTGCAAGTCAAGGTCTAGTTTGCAGCTGGTATCGTATTCACTAGAGTGGAACTTCATTCACTGATTCAGCTCTTGCGAGCATCTCTCTAAGTGTGGGATGAGCCGCAAGAATTTGGCGTTCTGCTGACTCCATGACAGGTAGTGTCGAAGAGCATCACCATCGAAGCCACGCCAGGGTGTGAGACGTTCTTAGTTTGCCTTGGGTTCTTCTATTTTTTGCAACATGTTTCGTTATTTGCTGCCAGGCTGCCCTTGCCCGCGATCCTCAATTGTGGGCTGGCGACACGTCAGCCAGGTCGAGGACCTCAAACAGTTCTGACGCTGCGCCGTGTACGTCTCCAACGTCCAGACCAGTCCCAGCCACTCTTGGAGGCACCACTTTCGTTTAGGTTTCTACATAATACTGTACGGGCCGTAGCCTCCCACACCCAATGATTGATTACACCCGGTGCAACGCTGGGCTGTATTGTTTGTAGTTGCTCTGTATGTGCCCATGTACACGAATCCTTGGGGGGTAGGCAAGGGTAAGCTCAAGGACGAGTGGACAACGATTCTTTGACATGGATTTCAGCCTGTGGGGGCGCGAGGTTGGTGCTGGAACAGCTTGCGAGCTGTACGACTGCTTTGTTGAAGGGGGCATAAAGCTGTGTGAAGGCGCCCGAGCCAAGCTGATTCGGACACAAATCCAAGCGGCTCGGCCTAAAGGGCTAGTTAGTATTCATTTGTGCACTTGGGAAGCCAGACTTGGTGGTGTTGGTGCTGTTTGTTGCAGTTGTCCTATGAACTTGGCAACTCCAGAAGCACTCATTAATAAACTGCCCGATCGCGCCAAGCTCCCCAACACTGTGAGAAGGCAAGCTATGGTCAAGTCCAACCATCCTGCCCTGCTGTGCCCAAGCACTAGTGACTAGTGACAGGTTCCAAACCTCACACAGTTCAAGAGTTGGAGAATTTGAACTTCCAAAGAGCCTTCCATTACCATTGTGAAAAAGACTCTATATACTGACTGAAGTCGTCCACAATTATGTTTGCTTCTTCCCAAGAATCCCGCATAGATCAAGAGCATGGGAAATGAGAGAAGATGAAGCCAGCTTGTAAATATTAATGTTGAGGCCGCCTATAAGTTCTAGTGTCTTGAATTCCCACTGGCTTTGGAAAGCGTTGCCAAGGGATTTGGTGGAGCAGGCATTTCAGGACGTGCCTTCAATTGCTTGTCGCTATTAGCGTGCACAATCAGCGATTGTGTTGCTTGTCTTGAAACCTCAGCCATATGCATGGTTTGCTGCAATTGTTGTTGCTTGCTAACCCTTCAGAAACAAAGGCCGATGATGGGCTTTTACTCCGACATGGCAAGGCACAACAGCTCAGCTCGATCTTGGTATGATGAACACAAACAGATGTTTGTTTTGTGAGGCAGATGTTGTCGACTGCACCATCAACAACTCTGGGCAAAGCGGCCTCGTTTTTGGACCAGGGCAGTGGCAGTTGATGGGCAGCACCGTGCAGCACGGAGAGGTTTTAGATTTTGTCAAAGCAAAGGCTACTTGTTCCTAGTAGCGAACATTGTTCCTAGTAGTACGGCCAGGAGCCGCTGTAGGAGTAGTAGGGCCAGGAGCCCCTAGTAGCTTCTTCTTCCTTCCTGTTTTGCTTTGCGTTGTATTTTGTCTTTTGGAGAACAGCGCCGCGGACGCCTGAACTTGTGTGGTGGGTCCAAGGTCGGGAAGTGGTCAATATGGGCTGTGGGCTGAAGCCGATGCAATGGTTTCATGTCGCCCCTTGAATGCCAAGTGTTCGCTCCATTTTCTTTCCTGCTTGAGGGCAGTGTTCAATGTCTTTGCATCCTGCACGGGGTAGGAGACAATGTCTTCGCTGACAATGCTCTTGGTGACACAGGTGGTCGTGGAGCAACTCAGCCGCAACCCCATACCTTTTGGCCCTGGCTTAGGTCAGAAAACTTGTGCACATACTGCAACCCAGACGTGTTCCCAACATTGTTCCTTTAGCCCTCAGTCCTTGTCCTTTTGTGTTGGATCATGCCAGAATGTGATGAGAAGGAGAGACAGAGAAGGAGACAGAGAGACATGCTCCTACATTGTGTCGGCAAGCCTTTAGATTTATGGGGCTTAACTTTTTCAACGTGAGAGTGAGTGCCATGACACACAGCCAAGGTGCTAAAGGGCTGGCGTGCAGGATTTGGGCTTTTGCCTGACAGCCAATGCCGCGTATGGTGCGAGCAGCGTGCAAAATGGCTACCTGGGCGAGTTGTCGCTGTGACAGACCAGGCGCTGTGTGCACATCAGGGCAAGCAAATGATTTTTAGGAACCAAGCCAGTGCGGGGGTGAGCAGTTTGACAGGCACACACAAGGTCGAGCTTTCTTGTTATACCAAATGAATCCAAAGATTCAAGCTCACTCAAGGGCACTTCCGCTTGCAACTTCCTGCCTTCACAGGTTGCAGTAGCAGTAGCGAAGCGATTTCGCAAAGCAAAGCTTGGAGAGGAAAGCAAGGCCTGGGAGACCATGTCCAACAGAAGTGCTTCAGCGATAGAAGCATGCTCAGGTTCCACCCTCGGAACCAACGCGCGAAGGTCAGAGTGAGCAAACTGGAACAGCTGTGCCCGATCCTGCTTGTGAGAGAAGCTTGCTGTTTCTATGATATGCTTGTATATGCTACATTCGGGCGACATGGGATTTAGAAAACACATTTGGGAACTCACACATTCCCAAGTCATTTGCCGTATCCCCTTTGTATCCGGAGTGTGTAAATCCCATGTCATCAGGCAAAAGTAATTCAAAATTAAAGGACCGGATAACCCCACAAGTGTGGTCTTCCGTATGTTACCATAGGCACAGATGTCAAGCCGACGAAGAAAAGAAACAAAGTCAGGTGTAGAGAACATGTGAGTGGACTTGAAGTGTGTTGTGGAGAGGGAGTTGAAAGCTGTGAGATGAGTTGCTGTGGTGAGTTGTTGGTTGTGTGCGTGGCTTCTTGTGTGCTAAGTTGATCGACTTGAGTTGAGAGGACGAGTCGATGGTTGTATGAATGATGTCTAGCGCGTCTCAGTTCATGTGTGTTGAGGGGTGGTATATGTGAGTTGATGGTTTTGTGTGTGTGAGTTGATGTGTGTTGGTGGGTCAGATGTGGATAATGAGGCGGCACAGGCCCTCTAGCACATCCCAGATAAGGCGGCAGTGCCCAGCGACCAGCAACCAGCACAGGCCCTCAAGCACGTCCCGGACAAGGCGGCGGCGCCTTGTTGAAGTGTGTAAGTTGATGTGTGTGAGTCGTTGTGTCGAGTTGGTGTGTGTTGAGTTGATGTGTGTGTGTGTGTCGTTGATTGATGATGCGTGTGGGTATGTGTTGATGATATATGTGAGTTGTTGTTGTTGTTGTTGTTGTTGTTGTTGTTGTTGTTGTTGTTGTTGTTGTTGTTGTTGTTGTTG